TCATGCATGACGGCGATTTAAACCTAATTCACTTCAATAAAGATAACTATACATGCTATTCTTGTCATGAGCATCAAGGTGTGCGGGCGCTGCGGTGCAAATTCCACTCATGTTTAGTACATGTTTGCTAAATCAAAGATTCGAAAAAAATAAACGTTGGAGGCCGTTGATCTGCGCGCGAAGTCCTTGAAATCCATTCTGCTGTTAGCATATAGCATCATATAGCCGCCATGGCAAAAAGAACACAAGGCAGTTTAATTAATTTTGGTTTTAATATCTAAATTTTATATATATATATATATAAATTATATTATGAGCATAACAATTTGAGTAAAAAGTTGAATTTCAGAAATGTTTTTGTATGTCCCTGTTTGTGCCCGCCCGCTCACCGGCGTCAGCTGACGGGCTGTCTGGAACTAGCGCCACAACCGAATATCAGGCCAACTAACGTAACTGGAAATGGCAAGCGATACGACACCTCTTGGAAAACAACCATTATAATCAGCACCTCAACTCAGGTTTGAGGAAAAATACTGCTTTATTGTTTTTGATAATACTAACTGATTTACTGACTGATCGAATCTCTTTACTCTCTGCTATCACCATCACTTATCACACGCAGTGTGATGAACCCTCGCAGATTCTTCTAGCGCAGCAGCAGCACAGGATTCGTCGCTCGGACAGCATTCTGTCCTCTGCCTTTGTTTTCCCCTTGTCAGGTAGAAAGGAATTAAATTTCATCAGTACATTTAATCCCTTTATCAGGAACTGGATTTTCCTTTTTCCTTCCTTCCGGAAGTTAGCATCCCTGGGCCTAGACCAGTGGTATCAACGTGGTGCCCGCACACTATGGATTAATTTAATAACAGATCACACAGCAGAAATAAATGTGACAACAGCCAGTCAGTGAATGTGGCAAATATGTCTGCATGTCTATGTATGAATGGCATGGTTTCGTCTATGCCACGATTTCACAGTGTTTTCTTTGTCTGCCTGTCAATATATGAGAACAATCCGTCAAAAATAAAAGTTTGTTTTAACTTGAAGAAATTATGACAGAAATATAATACTACTGTCTACTAAAACGTAATTCTCAAAGTAATAATAATAATATTATATTTTTTTAAGAAATATCATACAACCAAGTTTTTTCCCCCATTAATTTATACAGTTGTGTAGCATCTTAATTGACAAAAAAATAAAAATTCAATGTTTGGTTGTAAATTAAATTTCATTTGATAAATTTTTTTTAAAAGATTGATTAAACTGTTTAAAGTTTTATTAATTCACAATGGATTTCATGGGGCCCTAAATTAAAAGGTAGCTACTCTGTGGAGTTTAATTGTAAACAAAGTTATGTTTACCTTAATTCCAAGCATTTCCTTCCCCATTAATGGTGAATGAATATTTTGATGTTCAAAAAAAACTTTTATTAAGGACACACTCGGTCCAAAAACACAGACAATAACAACAGAAAAAAAACCAGAACAGAATCCACAATATCGTATATTTACATATATACTAAAACGCCAATGGTTCCACATACTTGAGAAAAGTCTGACTGAACTTAGTACTTGGCTCATCAGTGTTGAAATTATACTGTTTACAGATTTCGATAACCTACACATACATCTGTACATAGTATTACGCATCACAGCAGCGCACATTGGTACACTAACACTGGCAAACATGTGGCTTGCACTGCTCCATCGTGGCACTTTAAGCAGCAGTCTCACACCATCGTTATAAGCTACATTGAGTTTCTGCATGCTGCTCTTTCTGTAATGCCCCCACAAATGGGCAATATACATAGGGGTACAATATGCTTTAAAAAGTGTAGTTTTCACAGCTCCTGAGCACATACAAAATTTGTGAATCAGCATATTAGCCCGTGCATACATCATATGACACCGTCTGTAAATGTCTCTATCATCAGACAGGTCATCAGTTATAAAATGCCCTAAGTATTTAGTCTAATCACATACTTTAAGGACACTACCAGACAAGGAGAAGTCAGGAAATTACAGTTTCCTGTCCTCCATACTCCTAACAATCATAATATTACTCTTCATTGCACTGTATTTAATGTCAAAGTCTGAGCCATATTGACAACAATTGTCCACATACCAAATCACCAAATTGTCCACATACATCAAATGGTTGATGATAATATATTACTAACCATACAACCAGTTCCACAGCCATTTAACAGCTTTGATAGATTGTCCATATAAACATTAAAAAGAAAGGGAGATAAAATGCTTCCCTGTCTAACACCATTACATACACTGAATGGAGCAGACACACAATTACCCCATTCTACATACATTAACTGATGAGCATACCAAAAAGCCAGAATTCTCACTAAAGATTGGGGAAATCCTCTATTGTATTACTTATAAAATATTTTTTCATGATTTACACGATCAAAGGCTTTAGAGGCATCAATGAAACACATAAAAATTGTAGAATTATGCCTGTTATACAGGTCTAACATCTCCTTTAAAGCAAAAATACACATGTGCCATGTTTACGTTTAAAACCAAACTAGTTATCAGAAGTCAGGAAAAACAGTTCCAACTTATTCAATAACGTCCTTTCAATAACCTTGGATAAAATACTGGCCAGAGCTATAGGCCGGTAATTATCCATGCTATTTATTTTGCCAGCTTTGTCTTTAATAATAGGCACTAACACAACAGATAAAACAGAATCAGGTAAAATACCATGAACTAAAAACCCAGTGAAACAAATGGTGAGCAGAGGACAGAGTTTTCTACTTGCAAATTTTAAATGTTCAGCAGATATCTTATCCATACCACGTGCCTTATTATCTTTTAGCATCATAACTGCATCATGAAATTCTTGTGGAATGAGCTTTGTAAAAATCGCCGCGTTTCAGAAAGGCGGGGCATAGAGGAGAAACAATAATGTACAGTATGTGGAAAATAATGTGTTTTTTTAACCTTAAACCGCATAAACACATTTC